CAGACGCTGGTTGTCGTCTCCTCTGCACCTTTCTGACGGCAAGGAACACAACACAATCCAGTGCGGTTTTTCCCTGCTATTGTTCTCCTCAGAACATGTCTCTTTGTCACGCACCCAAAAAGTGGCAGCTCCTTCAAAATAATCTCGCATGGTGAGAAGAAAAATGGCCGGAGCTGAGGCGATGATGTGAAACATCTACCCGTCTTTGAGGTAATATGTTTTTGGTAACTGCAGGGGAAACGGCGGCTTGTGTGCGTCAGACTGTGGCGAGGAAAGACTCCGTTTGAGGGAATGAGAAAGGACGGCGGAGATGAGGACAGGAGGCGTCCCTCAGCAAGCTGTCCTCGGATTCCGGTTTCCTTTTTTCTTCTCCCCTTTGTGAAATGACATCAGGGGAGATCTAAAATTGATGGAGACCTGAGGGCCTCTGCTTGAAACAAATGAGAGGGAGGGAGGGAGGGAGGGAGGGTGGGAGGAAGGGCAGGAGGAAAGAAAGAAAGAAAGAAAGAAAAAAAGAAAGAAAGATAAATAAAGAAAGAAAGAAAAAGAAAGAAGGAAGGAGGGAGGGAGGAAGGAAGGGTGGGAGGAAAGAAAGGAAAGAAAGAAAGAAAAAGAAGGAAGGAAGGAAGGAAGGAAGAAAGGAAGGAAAGAAAGAAAGAGAAGGAAAGAAGAAAAGAAAGAAAGAAAGAAGGAAAGAAAGAAAGAGAAATAAATAAATAAAGAAAAAGAAAGAAGGAAGGGAGGAAGGGAGGAAGGGTGGGAGGAAAGAAAGAAAAAAAAAAGAAAGAAAAGGAAGGAAGGAAAAAAGAAAGAAAGAAAGAAAGAAAGAAAGAAAGAAAGAAAGAAAGAAAGAAAGAAAGAAAGAAAGAAAGAAAGAGAAAGAAGGAAGGAAGGGTGGGAGGAAAGAAAGAAAGAAAGAAAGAAAGAAAGAAAGAAAGAAAGAAAGAAAGAAAGAAAGAAAGAAGGAAGGGTAGGAGGAAAGAAAGAAAGGAAGGAAGGAAGGAAGGAAGGAAGGAAAGAAGGAAAGAAGGAAGGAAGGAAAGAAAGAAGGGTGGGAGGAAAGAAAGGAAAGAAAGAAAAAGAAGGAAGGAAGGAAAAAAAGAAGAAAGGAAAGAAAGGAAAGAAGGAAGGAAAGAAAGAAAGAAAGAAAGAGGGAGGGAAGGAAGGAAGGAAGGAAGGAAGGAAGGAAGGAAGGAAGGAAGGAAGGAAGGAAGGAAGGAAGGAAGGAAGGAGAGGGTGGATGGAAGGATGAATGGATGGAAGGAAGGACTGTTAGGAAAAGAAGGAAGAACAGGGAAGGAGAAAGGAAGTAAGGAAGTAGCAAAAGGATGGATGGATGAATGGAAGGAAATACTGTTAGGAAAGGAAGGAAGAACAAGAAAGGAAGGAGAAAGAAAGAGAGGAAGGAAGGAAGGAAGGATTGATAGGAAGTCAGTCATTGGGGAAACCATATTCACTTAACAACTGCGTTACTAACTTAACAACTGCAGTGATTCACTTAACAATTGTGGCAAGAAATACTGTAACATAGGGGAAAATTGACAACTGTCTTGCTTAGAAACTGAAATATGCGGCTCCATTGTGGTCATAAGTCAAGGACTACTGTAAACAAATAAATAAATGCACTCGTGTAATGCATTGAAGAGGTGCCCCCGGGGCATCAGTTACTGTGAATAGCACCATCTGGTCCCAGAACAAGCGCAACTGGCCCGTAACACAAAGTTGCACAAAGGCCCACAACTGCCCCGAGGAGCTGTGAGTCCAGGAGAATTCCCCAGATTGGACACGGGGACTGTTTGGGGTAGTGCCATCCCATCCAGAGCCAAAGATGGCAAGTGTCACGAACCAGCAGACCCCAAAACTCAAAAGCCATATCAAAAGATGCTGCAAATGTGATTGTTGATACTCTATGTGCAATCTCCAAAATGATACATAGAACATAGAACATAAAATCATGAAGCTGGAAGGGACCTTGGAGGTTGTCTAGTCCAACTCCTTGCCCAAGGCAGGAGACCTTCCTGGTCAAGTGGCTTTCCACTCTCTTCTTAAAAACTTCCAGTGTTGGAGCATTCACCGCTTCTGGAGGCAAGGAGTTCCACTGGTTAATTGTTCGCACCCTCAGGAAATTCCTCCTTAGTTCCAGGTTGCTTCTCTCCTTGGTTAGTTTCCATCCGTTGCTTCTTGTCCTGCCTTCAGGCACTTTGGAGAATAGCTTGACTCCCTCTTCTTTGGGGCAGCCCCTGAGATATTGGAAGACCGCTATCATGTCCCCCCTCATCCTTCTCTTCATTAAACTAGACATACCCAATTCCAGCAACCGTTCCTTGTATGTTTTAACCTCCAGTCCCCTAATCATCTTTGTTGCTCTTCTCTGTACTCTTTCCAGAGTCTCAACATCTTTTTTACATCGTGGTGATCAAAACTGGATGCCGTATTCCAAGTGTGGCCTTACCAAGGCCTTGTAAAGTGGTATTAACACTTCACGTGTTTCCATCCGTTGCTTCTTGTCCTGCCTTCAGGCGCTTTGGAGAATAGCTTGACTCCCTCTTCTTTGGGGCAGTCCCTGAGATACTAGAACACTGCCATCATGTCCCCCCTTGTCCTTCTCTTCGTTAAACTAGACATACCCAATTCCAGCAACTGTTCCTTATATGTTTTAGCCTCCAGTCCCCTAATCATCTTTGTTGCTCTTCTCTGCATTCTTTCCAGAGTCTCAACATCTTTTTTACATTGTGGCAATCAAAACTGGATGCCGTATTCCAAGTGTGATCAACCGAGCAATGTTCAGGGTTTGGAGTAGTGGGAGAGGTTAAGAATCTGCCTTGCAGATCTCTCCAAAGGCCAAAACAGAAAGCCTCAGAAGAAAAACCACATCTACAAGATTCATTGTAAGAGCTGCAACAGCCACTATGCAGAACAAACAGGCAGAAGATGGATGGAAACTCATCCAGGAGAGAAGCAACCTAGAACTAAAGAGAAATTTCCTGACAGTGAGAACAATTAACCAGTGGAACAACCTGCCTCCAGAAGTTGTGAATGCTCCAACCCTGGAAGTTTTTAAGAAGAGACTGGACAGCCATTTGTCTGAAAGGGTATAGGGTTTCCTGCCTGAACAGGGGGTTGGACTAGATGACCTCCAAGATCCCTTCCAACTCCTATTCTATTCTATTCTATTCTATTCTATTCTATTCTATTCTATTCTATTCTATTCTACTCTATTCTAATTCCATTCCATCCCATCCTATATTCAACCCTACAAATATTCTCCTCCTCCTCCTCTTCCCCCCTCCTTTCTTCCCCTCCCCCTCCTCCCTGCAAACTTCCTTCCCTCCTATCACTGATGATGTTCCCTAGTTGGGTCATGAAACGTCTGCAAGACCACCAAGCTCAGAGAGCACCAAAGACCCCTCATTTCAACCCTGAGCTACAAATATTTTCCTCCTCCTCCTCCCCTCCCTGCACACCCCACTCCCTTCTAGCACTGATGATGTTCCCTAGTTGGGTCATGAAACGTCTGCAGGAAAAACCACCAAGCTCAGAGAGCACCAAGGACCCCACAGTCTTCCTCCTCCTTCTCCTCCTCCTCCTCCTCCCTGCACACCCCGCTCCCTTCTAGCCCTGCGGATGTTCTCTAGTTGGGTCAGGAAACGTCTGCCAGAAAACAACAAACAAGCTCAAAGAGCACCAAGGACCTCCCCCCCCCCGTCATTTCAACCAAATAGCTAGAAATATTCTCCTTTGTTGGAATTCCCGATGTGCAAGTTAGACAGGGGAGGGCGGAAAACATCCTGGGAAAGAAAAGAGCAGCGGCCATTCGCTCCTGACCCTAAGAGAAGCTGCGTAGCTTTCTGACATCAGCCGGCTGGGAGGGGGGGGGTTGAGCCCACCTTCTCCTGGCTAAAGCTTTCTCTGCCTTCCTGTTCTGCAGACCTCTTTAACCCCTGAGGCGCCGCGGTTTACCCATGCAAAGTAAGAGGGGAGCAAAGGTGCCAGGTGCCCCTTCCTCTTAATCTGGGACGGACGAACGAAAACGATTCATGGGGCAGCTTTGTTCTGAGAGGCATTGTGTGGCTAAGGACGGGTCTTCTTCTCCTCTCCAAGGGATGGAAGAGGTTCTACGTCTTCAGGAGTTTAGGACTTTTTTTTAAAAAAAAAAATTAAATTATCTTATTTAATACAGAATTTAGGGAGCAGGGCTAATGTCCTTAGGAGCCAAAGCTGAATAATGACCTTCCTTCCTTCTCCTAACTCTTTTTCTCTCCCTCTCCCTCCTTCCTTCCTTCCCTTCCTTCCTCCTCTCCTCCCTTCCTCCTTCCGTTCCTATCTGTCCCTCCTCCCTCCCTCCCTCCCTTCTTCCCCTCCTTCCCTTCCTATCAATCTTTCCTCTCTCCCTTTCTTCCCTCCCTCCCTTCCCCCCCTTTCCTTCCTTTCCCTTTTTTCTTTCCTTTCCTTTCTTCCTTCCCCTATCACTCCTTCCTTCCTTCCTTCCTCCCTCCCTTCCTGTTCCTATCCATCCCTCCTCCTTCTCTTTCCTTCCTTCTCTTCCTTCCCTTCCTATCAGTCTTTCCTTCCTCCCTTTCTTCCTTCCCCTCCCTCCCTCCCTCCCTTTCCTTCCTTCCTTTCTCCCTTCTCCCTCTTTCCTTTCTTCCATCCCCAATCAGTCCTTCCTTTCTTCCTCCCTTTTTCCCTCCCTTTCCTTCCTTCTCCTATCAGTCCTCCCTCCCTCCCTCCCTCCCTCAGTCCTTCCTCGCTTCCTTCCCAAGGAATTCTGGGAGCGGAAGTCCAAACTGCTTAAAATTGCCAATCACTGCACTTTATAGCAATCTTTCTTTTCTTCTGTTTCTAAGGTGGGGGAAAACTCTGCTCTGCCGAAAATCCCATATGAGAGAAGAGGAATATTTTTTCAGGATAAGCTGCTCTGAATGAATGGGGAAGAAGCACGCTGTCCTTGCATTCCCCTAGTCCTCACAATCGTTCCTTTTGTGACCATTCCAACTTACAGTGACCCTGATAAAGGTGTCTTACGACTTGCTCCTGGCACGTACAACGGTCGTCGTATCTCCCGGGTCAGGTGATCAAAATCTGGGGGCTTGTCCCTCCCTCCTTTCTTAGTGAGGTGGCGCAGCAGTTAAGAGTGCAGTACTGCAGGCCACTTTAGCTGACTGTGTTCAGCAGGTCAGCGGTTCAAATCTCACCGGCTCAAGGTTGACTCAGCCTTCCATCCTTCCGGGGTAGGTAAAATGAGGACCCAGATGGTTGGGGGCAATGTAAATATATATATATATATATACATTGCTTACTGGTGTACAGCGCTTAGAGAGTGCTTGCACTTAAAGCGGTATATAAGTCCCATAAATACATACATAAATAAATAAATAAATAGTGACTGATGTGTCTTTACAGCGGTTGCAGCATTACGGGATCGCCACTTTCGACCTATCCCAGCCAGTTTCAGACAAGCAAACATTGATGGGAGGGGGGGTGTTGGATTCATTTAATGACCACACGATCCATTCAACTGCTGCAATGATTCAATTAACAACCACAGCAAGGACAGATTGCCCATCAGCACGACTCACTTACCAACTGCTTTGCACTGTCGACAGGAATTCTGCTCCCAATTCCGCTCGTTAAGTCAAGGACACGGCCCGTTCCCTTGATCAGAATCCAAGCCACGCACAGCCCTATTTATTTACTAAGCCACTGTTTCTGCAAATCCACAATCAAGCCGCTATTACCCACGATGGGGCCCCCGGGCCCCAAATGAGGCTATTAGACAAGGCAGCTGATGCTGCCCCAAATTTTCTCCCAGGAAAGAGCGGAGTGACGTTACAAAATAAAAACGAAACGATGCAGGAAGCCCCGTTCTTTCTCCAATGATGCCTGGAAATAATTCCCGTTTGAGAAAATAAGTTCCAAAATCTACAGGATGGGGGTGTGTGATGGGGAACAGCCTTTCCAGAATTATCCCAAAGATGCTTTTCCAGGAGGCAGCGTTTCGCTTTTCATTCAAGAAGCTTCTTCAGCTCTGACCGGATGGTGGGGGAATGGAAGGATTTATACTCCGTGCAGACAGCTGGTCATTTGCCTCCTTTTAGAGCAGCGGTTCTCAATCTTTTTAATGCCGCGACCCCCAACCGGTCGTAAGTCGAGGACTATCCAACCAGGAGCGCCGCGCATGCTTGGTGCCGCCCCCTGCGCCGGCCAAGGTGTAGCTGGCAAGCAGCAGAGACGGCACAGGCCGACCACCGGCTGGGCCACCAGCTGGCTCAGCCCAAGGGAGGTAAGGCACCCGCCGGGCCCCACGTGCGCCAGCAACCCTCCCTGCGCCCACCGGCCACCCACCTCCCACCCCTGGCCCTCTTTTCCTTACATTTTTAGTAGTTGCTCAGCAGGGAGGGGCGGAAGTTTCCAGACAGCTCGCCTTCGCTGCAGACAACTTGCAGCACCGTTTGCAGAATGGGACTTTTGGCGGGCTCAGCAGGGCAGAGACAGCCTGGACAATTCCTATTGGCTTTTGACAGCCAATAGAATTAGACTCTATTCAAGGGAGTCTATTCTATTGGCTTTCAAAAGCCAATAGAATAAAAGGGAGTAGCACAGCTAAGGAAAAGGGGAAAAATAATGGCGGGCTGCGTTGTTTGGCGACCCCCGTGAAATGGTCGTTCGACCCCAAATGGGGTCCCGACCCACAGGTTGAGAACCGCTGTTTTAGAGAGTCCTTGAGGCCACTTGGAGGTTTGTCTGTGTCCTCAGGGTCACCTGAGTGGTGCAAATGGGTGTGGAGCCTTCTTGGGACTGCTGAAAGGACCGTGCTGTCGACTGGAGATGGATGATGTCCTATCCCTCCGACACAGACACAAACCTCCAAGTGGCCTCAACGACTCTCAAAAGAAGGCAAATGACCAGCTGGCTGCAAGGAGTATAAAAATCCTTCCATTTCCCCACCATCCACCCACAGCTGAAGAAGCTTCTTGGATGAGAAGCGAAACATCCTCAAAGAAAAACGAGGAAGTCCAGTGGCCTCGTGAAAAAACATCTTTGGGAGAACTAATGAGCCGAGGTGGCGTAGCAGTTAGAGTGCAGTACTGCAGGCCACTTTAGCTGACTGTGTTCAGCAGGCCAGCGGTTCAAATCTCATCGGCTCAAGGTTGACTCAGCCTTCCATCCTTCCGGGGTAGGTAAAATGAAGACCCAGATTGTTGGGGGCAATGTAAATATATATATGTATATATATACATTGCTTACTGGTGTACACCGCTTAGAGAGTGTTTGCACTTAAAGCGGTATATAAGTCTCATAAATAAATAAATAAATAAATAAATAAATAAATAAATAAATAAATAAACTAGGACCTGGATGGCTGAGAATTCCCACGGACTTTTCTAGAATAGAACAAGAGCCTTATTAATCCCCCGCCTTTTTTTTTCTTCTCCTTTTCTCCTTGAGTCTCTGTCAGACCAAAAGCTGATGTGATTTAGTACCTTTCTAATAGCTCCCGCGGTTAAAACAGAAAGAAACACCCTGCCATCTCTGCTTCATCTTGCAGACAAAGGGATCGGAGGAAGACCAGGCAGCTGAAGAGAAAATAATTAAATCTGAAGGAAAGTCAAGACCCAGCGTTATTTATATTCCTTCATGAATCTATTTAGCATGGCTGGTCTAAATGAGGGCCGCTAAGGAAGGGGCTTGTCAAATTAAGAAAAGATTGCCAGTAAGATCTTCTTGGTCCGGTGTAGTGGGGAAGGTGCTAGACTAGAAACAGGGAGATGGTGAGTTCTAGTTCTGGGTTAGGAAAGAAAGCCAGGTGGGTTGACTTTGGGTGAATCACCAGGATACTGAGTTCTAGTTCTGCCTTAGGGAGGAAAGCTGGCTGAGTGACTTTGGGCCAATCACCAGGAGATACTGAGTTCTAGTCCTGCCTTAGGGAGGAAAGCCGGCTGAGTGACTTTGGGCCAATCACCAGGAGACGGTGAGTTCTAGTCCCTCCTTAGGCAGGAAATCTGGCTGGCTGACTTTGGACCAATCACCAAGAGAAGGTGAGTTCTAGTCCCGCCTTAGGCATGAAAGCCAGATGGATGAATTTGGGGCAATCACTAGGAGATGGTGAGTTCTAGTCCCGCCTTAGGGAGAAAATCCGGCTGAGTGACTTTGGTCCAATCACCAGGAAATGGTGAGTTCTAGTCCCGCTTTAGGCAGGAAAGCCAGCTGGGTGACTTTGGGCCACTCACCAGGAGACGGTGAGTTCTAGTTGCACCTTAGGCAGGAAAGCCAGATGGATGAGTTTGGGGCAATCACCAGGAGATGGTGAGTTCTAGTTCCGCCTTAGGCAGGAAAGCCAGTTGTGTGACTTTGAGCCGGTCATTCTCTCTCAGCCCAACCCACCTCACAGGGTTGTCGTAGGGAACAACAGAGGTCTTTGGGCTCAGGATCCCATTTTTGCCTACGGAAATATTATGCTGGAATCTCGCCTCTTGATCTGGATTTTCAACATGTCTGCCTGATACGCTTGAATGCACATTTTGTTGTTTACAAAGAGCTGATTTAAATAAAGCACATGTGTTCCCCCCCACCCCTTCTCCCTAAATTACAATTTTAATCTCATGCACTCTTTTCCTGCACGAGGCAAAATACTAAAGGATTTGAAAAGTAACGATCTAAACGCCGTTATTTGCTATATTTGTTCACTACTGCAACCTGCTCTGCACTGCTGTGTTTACACACTTTAAAAATTCCCTGCACACACACATACACACACACACACACAAAAGTCTCCCCCCCCCACCTTGTCGAGATGGGCAGGACCCCCTTAGGCATCGCTCCACAATATGCAAAGCAGACCTTAGATTAATACGCTATTTTCCACACACACACCCTTAATTTAAATTAAATTGCAATGAAACGACACCAACCCTTAAACTGGTTTTAGTCTCCCAAACCCAGTTTTGCAAAGCATTAGGACGGGAAAGAGAAGAACAGGCTGGAGGATTTGATTTTTATGACGACGGCCCCTCTCACTGTCCTTCCCCTGAAATTCTCCATTTTTTTTTTTTTTACTACGTTCCCTTCAGAGGCATCATTGGAGAAAAGGGTCTGAAAACCTGAAGAGGAGGGGAGGGAAGGGATGAAACTCCAGCAGACGACAAGAATTGTGATGCTTGCTAAACAAAATGAACGGCTTCCTCCACCGTTAGTTACGCACACTTTGCTATCGGGCGAGTTTGTCGTCCCCTGCATTCTGATGGGATCCAGGCAACGGCTCTTAAATACGACACCGGCCTCCGAACGATGAAGGGCGGGTAAGGAGATGAAGGAGGAGGTTGTGCGGTTTGGCCCGTCCCACCCCTTTGCTTGGCTGGGCTGTGGAGCCCTCTCACCTGGCCACAGCAGCACCTACCTATGGAAGGACTCCGGCCATTTTTACTCCATCACTGCAGCTTTTAAGGAGAAGCTGGACAGTCACTTGTCCGGAATGGTCTAGGCGGGTCTCCTGCTTGAACAGGCGGTTGGACTAGAAGACCTCCAAGGTCCCGTCCAACTCTTGTTATTCCATTCTGTTCCGTTCCGTTCTATTCCATTTCATTTTATTCCTCCATTCTATTCCGTTCTGTTCCATTTCTACATTCTATTCTGTTCTGTTCCGTTCCATTCCATTCCATTCCTACATTCTGTCCTGTTCTGTTCCTAGATACTATTCTGTTCTGTTCCATTCCTACATTCTATTCTGTTCCATTCCATTTCATTCCTAGATTCTATTCTGTGCTGTTCTGTTCCTACATTCTATTCTGTTCCGTTCCATTCTGTTCCTATATTATATTCTGTTCTGTTCCTACATTCTATTCTGTTCTGTTCCTACATTCTATTCTGTTCTGTTCCGTTCCTACATTCTATTCTGTTCCATTGCATTTCATTCCTAGATTCTGTTCTGTTCTGTTCCCACATTCTATTCTGTTCCATTCCATTCCATTCCTATATTCTGTTCTGTTCCATTCCTACACTCCATTCTGTTCCATTCCATT